TCTGCTTGTCCGACCAACCGTGGCTCATACCGAAGACATCATAGTCTTCCAAGAACTCCCTAACCTTGGTTCCATCAAAGCAGGGTATGTTCTTTGGAGGTACCTTAGCTCTTGGAAGGTCTAGACGGACATTCATACTGTCCATCCCAGTCTTCATGGCCTCTATTCGGTTCAACATCTCTCGAAGAACCACGGTAGTGGTCACTTCTTCATCCCCAGCAGAGGAGCTAGCACGGCTCTGCCGTGCGTTCGGTCCTTTGACCATCCTGTCTAGTTTTCTGATTACGCTTCTACTTCTTCCTGAACCTTTTCTCTCTTATGATTGCGTTTAAAATTGATTCCCAGTTCCTGCCATCAGTAAAACTTTCTGGCAGATGGGGCTCAGGAAACCTATCAAACACAATCGGTGTTAAGTCACTAACTACTCTTATCATTTTTCTTTCTAATTCCCGTTTCTTTTGGTTAACTATATTACTAATCCAACTTCGAAGAGACTCACGATCTGTCCCTTTCTCTCTCAATGAGGGAACATAGGGCCGAATATCGTATTCACCAGTGTTTAGGAACTTCACTACAAGGACATACACCTTCCCAGGTGCATGCTTCTCCTCCAAGGATATGCAGCGCTCTATCTTGTAGGGAAAAACTCCTCCACTGGTAAAAGGAACTAAGGCGTCTAGTGCCGCCGTGATCCTTGGGCAGTATCCAGACATTGCCTAGCCCCTAGCGACCTCCATGATCCATCTTTGCCTACTAAGTCTTCCGACTTGAATCGTCAATGTTGACACTGCTCCACTTCCTATCTCTCAAAACAGCATTAAGGATAGGCTCCCAGTCCTCACCATTGACGAAGCTATTCGGAATGGGAGGACTTGGGAAATTTTCATACTCAGTAGGCTCTACACTCCAGGTAACTTTCTTACCCCCCTTCTTGAGTTCGTTCATGTATTTGCAGACGTGACTGAGTGCCCACTCGTGACACCCAGTATACCGCCGCCAGATTTTCCTAGTCGCTGGAGTGTATATACGCACGTCATACTCATCGGTCTCTAGGAAGCGAGTCACTAACACATATACCTTCTCCTCTGCGTCAGGTATGGCTAAGACAGTGTATCTCTCAATCTTATAAGGAAACGCCCCTCCTACTGTGAAGGGCTCTAAATCCCGGAATACGCGTGAGATAACTGAAGAATTAATGTCTGGTAATTCCTTTCCTTCAGCCTTCTCCCAAGTATGTCTGCTTCCTAGGAAACTAACATACTCCTCGACCATAACAAGCTCCTTTCCATTTGTCAAGTGAGGGAAAATTCAGGAGAAGCTTCGTCTTGAACTTCAAACCTACGTACAAAGGTCTCAAGAAACAGCGTCTTTGGCCGCATGACTAGGTCATCCTCTCTTGCTTTACCAACCACGACAATAGCTTCTAGAAGAGGTGCCCAGTCTCTCCTGTCAGTGAAGCTATCCGTAGTCAGAAAACTAGGGAGTCTTTCAAATTGCCTGACTCGTTTTCCCCAAGTCACTTTCTCATGCAAGCTTCGAAGTAGCTCCTTTATCCTTGAGAGGTGAATGTACACTCTCCTCAGGCAATTCAAATAACCCTCTTCCTCTTTTACTCCTTCCTGAGCATAAACTCTCACGTCAAGCTCGTCAGTCTTGAAAAATTTAACCACTGGAACATAAAATACTAAACGCCCTTCCTTACAGACGTCGTGTCTCAATATCTCGAATGGACTGTCGGTCTCAGTTACTTTGTTTAACCATCCTCTACTAATGGTCACAGTCGTAATTGACATAGAGTTTTCACATTCCAGTATCATTGCCTTGGGCTGCCTCTAGTGCCTCTAGCCAGACTATCTGCAGGACGCTGTCTAGATAGGATGGTCTCATCTCTCGCATGTAGCATCACTCTCCTACCATCTGAAGTCTTGCAATCCAACAGATGCCTAATCTTAGTCTGACTCGTAATTGCTCTAAAAGCAGCTGCTCGCATAAGTTCAAGGTAGTGCTCTACCATGCCAATCTCGTCGTGCCTACCTAGCCTAGTATCGCATCCTCTCACAGCCCCGATGACAGTCGCTTGCTGTTCATCTAGATACACCTCAAAACAGAAGCTCTCTCCATCATCAAGAGTGTAGACATCGATCGGCATAGCTCACCACATTCGATCCCTTAACACCGCGTTGAGGATTGGTCCCCAGTCCTTCCCGTCGCAGAAATTAGCAGGCACAGGAGGGTTTGGGAACCTCTCGAACTCTCTAGGCAGGACACTCCACGTCACTTTCTTTCCTTGTTGTTTCAACAACAACCTTTCATCTAGGATATATTCAA